TATATATATATATATATATAAAGAAAAATGTTCTAACACTTTAATATGAAAAACCCTCAGGAAAATTATTTTATATATTTTGAGGAATGTAGCAACACATTGACGACTAGCCTTCACAATCTTTACCCCTTCATAAAGGAATTTGGTTTAATCATCCCTCTTCCAATACCTACAATCCTAACTAAACTACTTAACTCTAATTAGAACACTAATGAATTAGAATAGAAAACTAACAATGGGGGGTAACTCAAGCTAAATTTGTAGAAAATTGGAACTGGGGCATGGACCACATTTGCCAAACTCAACCTTAGTAAGTAACCTTGAAACCCCAATTTAAGGAGAATAATATGTCATTAGAAGAATTTGTAGTAAATTTGAGGAATGAATGAAACACCTACACCTAAAGTTGGTTGACTTACTGTCGGCGTTATTTCGGGTTGGTTTGTGGAGAGTTGCCCGTAAGAAGCTGTTGGCCACTGGAATCGAAATCCCATCGCCCGTTTCGGAAGGACGTTGAAGTATGAAATCAAACTGACCCCCTATTTTTCATAGTTTTAAAATGAAAGAGTAAAATGAAAGAGCACTGTAATCTATCCCGAAGGATAAACACAAGACTCGAGGATGAGACTCGATCAAATAAACTAAGGAAAGTATGACGTCCGTTTGGTCTGCGAAACCTTTGTATTTGCTGACAAGTTCCATTATTTAATATAAAAGATTAAATTGGGTTTATATTAAGCTGGGTTCAGACATGCTTTCTATAAGGGCAAGCCCCTATAGTTAATTACATCCTAAATGACCAAAGTTACTTAAGAAGTCTCTCGATAAAAATCAAGAAATAGGAATTTCAAAGGGTATGACTCTTCAACGAAATCAGACGTAGAGGTGTGAAAGGGGATTGTTTCAAATTTGGAACATTTTATTGTAGAATCCAAATGAGGAAGAACTAGGGGATGTCATGGATCCAGAGGAGAATCTCGGTGACTTCCCAAGCTATCCTAATGTTTGGCTTCAGTTTTGAGGAGGAATATTTGAGTGTTTCATCCTGCCAATTTTATTAGTTAGGACTTACATTCGTGTGAAATAATCACACTAATAGCCTGGAAGATGTGAGGATTTAGGTCGTGACAAATGACAACCTCAGAATCCTAAGACGAGTTAGGGCTTATATTGTAGAGCAGGGCTATGCAAAGGCCTAAAGATAAGGTGAGGATTTACGTTGCATAA